CAAAGCTGACAGATGTTCTAATGGATACATGTACAATGATTTTAAAAAATGGATTCAATAGAGGGAGATATTCTGTCCCCAGGCCACAAGGGGACCACAATCTTAAAACTAGCACTCGTCCAATTAGAAGTGAAATCAATAAACGTTTCATCATAAAAGGGTGGTTGAGGTCAGAAACTCATTTCTCAAAAGTTTGTGAATGTCAGGTTAATTGAAATTTTCAAGGCTGAAATTGATCGTTTTTATTAGATATGAATAGTTATGGTCATCTGAACAAAGCAGGTAACTGACATTTAGGTACGAATTAGCAATGATATAATTGCTCAAGGGGCTGAATGGTCTATTCTTGTTCCTATGTTGTCATGAATGCTGAAATTTTGAAATGTCTGCATAAACAGCACAGTTCAGAAAAATGCCTATGTGATTTGATTGTCACAGAGACAGAAATCTCAAAGACACACCCACTGAGATGGGGGTGACAGTTTAACACCTTTCTTCTTTTTTACACAGCTGCCGTTTGAGACACCAAAAGGCTGGAAGCAGGGTAATTGGTCTCTTATTTATGACAAAGCAGGATGCTTACAAGAGGTCGGCCTCTATTTAACAGAAAGGAAACAGAACAGACAGAGCTCAAGAATTTAAGGATTGGGGATTCAATGAAGTGTGTATTACTGATGATAATCATATCCTTGAAAATTCATGTGAAGTGGAATGACTACTGAAGGGATATTAGAAGTTTCACCCTGGCATGGGGGAGAGAAGTGAATCTCTGCTGGACAGAAAATAGTGACTATTAAGGCTATATATCTGCCAGATATGTGACACACGGTAATAGAATATTTTGGGCACGTTTCTGAGTGCTTTAATTTAGTGTATTAGTTGGCTGTTAAATAATGTTTCATCTATGTTAATATTAGTTTGTACGTGAAATCCCCATTTTGGTTCTTTACATGGATTATTGGGAAATTCATCTCTTTTTAAAAGCTATTGTTCTCTAAAGAGATTGTAACAATGTTCTACGCAATTAATAGTTACTTCTTACATTCCACAAAGTTGCTGATTTCAGAAAAGGTAACAGAAATCAGATGCTATTCTCATGCAGAGAAGGAAAATTATTTGGGAAGTATATTCCCTGAGGTGTATCTACATTATTAGATGAGGTTTGTAGTTTCTGGTTAACATGCTTGAAATGTTAAAAACAAATCTATGTTCAGTGTCCAACAATCTCTCTACGTTGAAAGCTAACAAAATCAAATGAAGAACAACACTGTTTAGAGGCTCTGCTACAAATCAACTTTAAATAATTCTGCAATGATAAAGTTAATTAATCTTCCTTCCAATCAGTTCCTTGGTTTTGATAAACAGATTTGAGCTTCAGCTTTCTACAGCAATGATGGCCCGTCTTTGTGGGGAAAAGGCACAATGATATAATCCATCTATTACAACTGTCACAGTCAATACTTTTAGTCTCCATCAGAAGATAGGACGCAGAAAGAAAGAGAAACCATCTGCAGGAAGTCCACAAGTGACTGTGATGCGAATTCTTGACAACTCTGCCATAGGATATTCGACACAGAAACAGGGAACACAATCTTAATAACTCTTGCCAGCTGAAAGCAAGACAATGGTGGGGTCTTAAAATTGGCCTGAGGTTGCTCTCTGGTATAATCTTTGCAGTGTTTCAGTTGGGTAAGGTCCTACCAGTGCATTGATGTAATGGTAGTGGAAGATCCAAAATGGCAGCTGAGCTTCAGTAAATTTCAAAAATGTAAACCAGTCTGAACTCCTTGTGGACCAGAAGCAGGAGTTCTCCTCAGCTCCACAAGGAATCCATGGACCTCCACTGCCCCAGCCTACCCTGACCTGATCACCACTGAATCCTCTGTAGGGTCTGCCATATCTGCACCCACCTCGATCACCTCCATTCTCTCAGATTGTCAAAGACTATACCCACAGACCCCAACCGTGGCCTCCTACAGCAAATGTTCTATTCCTGTCTGCCATTCATTTTAGCCAGATGGAAGGAGACAAGCTAGAAGCTTGATTTTAAATGAAGTAGCATACTTAATCATATCCACTTTGGGCCCACCTCCATAATTCCTGACTTTTTTTTTATAAAGACTTTGGCTTTACAAACACTCCTAACACTACAATCATGCATCTTCACTGACAACACGTCACTATATTTATTTAGTGACCCAGGAAACGTTTGCCGAGATACAGGTATATCTCATAACTGCGATACAGACTCAGGGCGTTTGGTTTTATGCAAAATTCAGTGAAATGAAAACAACTGCTGCTGTGGTTCAAATCAATTCACACAACAACCCCTCAACTCAATATAATTAGCTTTCGAGAGTCAGCCATCCATCACTCTCCAACATGAGACCCATGACCAGCAAAACATTAAAAAAAAATGCCACAAAGTAAACACAATCCCCATTTTAACGAAGTCTGGGGTGTTCTAATGCAACAAATTCATAAGCCAACTGCAATACAACAGTTCTTCTGCTACCCACTATTAAGAAATTTGACCCCCACCAACTCCCAACGTGTCAAGAACAGGCAACATTACAAGGCTGCAACACACGTATAGAACAATATGGTTCAAATTATTCTGAGAGAGTCTCATCCCAATCACTGCTTAGGCAGATGGACATAAAGAGACAAATCATGTTAAACAACTGAGCAGTTTACACTATCAGTACTGCAAACACATTCAGTACTTCTTTAAATAATACGGAAGTAATGTATAATAAGACTGAAAATTCCCTGTTTTCCAATCTTGGCCATGAACTAACAGAAAATCTGTGCATTTGAATTTCAAAACTGTGTGCTTGAGAGAAAAACCCCCTTTGAACATGTTGAAGAAGGAATATTCTTGTGAATTAAATAGTTGCCTAAATCTATTACTTACAGACCCACTGTTAAGTGCACAACCTGTACAGCGAAGGATTTTTGGACTTTAGCTGGAATAATTATATGTTAAGGAGAGTCAAGGGTAGAAGACTACTAAATTAGCTGTTCAAGATGGCACAGTGTGCAGGTGTGCCAAATTCTCAAGACATGCTGTGGACGGGATAGATTTCCATAGGTAAGCAAACCTTCGGAGACCACATGAAACGACATTGTCTGAAACCATGGAGAAGAAATTGAAGCAATAGAGAGGTTCAAAAACAGAACACAAGTCTGCTTACAAGGCAGACTACAGGAACACAATGCAATAAATCAACAGGTTATTAAATTATCACCCACAGTATAGTTGGAGGATTGATCTCTGCATGTTCATGGACCAGGACAATCAGCCAGAGTTTTGAACTATATTCATGGTTTAGAGATTGTACAGAACTCTATTTGCAATTTTTTAAAATAAATCACTTGTCCAAAAGATATGCACGATGCTGACTAGGCCAGTATTTATTATTCAATCTTAATTGTCCTTGAGAAGGGCAAAACCTGGACTGTAATAAAGCCATTAGAAAAGTACTGGTTGATCTCACCTCTGTTTACTCAAGTTAATACAAAAAACACAGAACAGAAATAGACTGCAATGTGCACACATGAGCTCAGGCCAATTCTTCCCTTCCTACCCAAGACAAGATCAACAAATTCAGCACAAGCATAAAAATGCTAGAAAATACTAGATACTGTCACTGAACTAGGAAAGGACCTAAATATATATAGACTACTTTCAGAAATATTTTAACTTTGTTCAGTTTATTTAACTTACTATTTTAATAACTCTGGTGCAAGATTTCCTTTCACTCACTCACAGGATGTGGGCTTAACTGGTAAGCCCAGCACATCGTCCATCCCTAGTTGGCCTCAAGAAAGTTATGGTGATCGGCGTTCTTGAAACATTGCTATCCTCAGGAAGGATGTTAGGGATGCATTTCCAGGATTTTGAACCAATGATACTGAAGGAACGTCAATATATTTTCAAGTCAAGATGGTGAGAAGCTTAGATGGGAACTTGCAGGGGTTGGGTTCCCAAGTACCTGCTGTCCTTGCCCTTCTAGATGGTCATTGTCATGGGTTTAGAAGGTGCTGTCTAAGGATCTTTGGTGAATTTCTGCAGTGTATTTTGTAGAAGGCACACACTACTGTTACTGTGTGTCAGTAGTGAAGGGAGTGAATGTTTGCAGATGTGCTGTCAATCATGTGGGCTGCTTTGAGCTGGACGGTGTCAAGCTTCAAGTGTTGTTGGAGCTACAATTTGTGCAGTAGAAATGTCACTTGCCAGTCATCAGTCCAAGCCTGGTTATTGTCCAGGTCTGGCTACATTTGGGCATGGACTGCTCAATATCTGAACAGTCATGAATGGGACTGAACACTGTGCAATCATCGGCAAACATCCCCACTTCTGACCTTGTGATGAAGGAAAAGTCATTGATGAAGCAGCTGAAGGTGGTTGGGCCTAATACACAACCTTAAAGAACACTTGTAGAGATGTCACGGATATGAGATGACTGATTTTCAATCACCCCAACTATCTTCCTTTGTGGCAGATATAACTCCACACCAGCAAAGAGTTTTCCCTGATTCTCAATGACTCCAGTTTTGCTAGGGATCGTTAATGCTGCATTTGGTCAAATGTGGCCTTGATGTCAAGGGCAGTCACTCTCACCTCACCTCTGAAATTCAGTTCTTTTGTCCATGTTTGAACCAAGGCTATAATGAGGTCAGGAGCTGACTCTCCCTAGCAGAATGCAAACTGAGTGTCACAGAGCAGGTTATTGCTGAGCAGGTACTGCTTGATAGCACTGTTGATGACACCTCCATCGCTTTACTGATGATCAAGTCTAGACTGATGAGGTGGTAACTGGCCAGGTTGGATTTCATACATTTATTCTCTTATGATGAAACAAAACCATTCTGAGAAATTCAGTCAACACAAGCATAAATAATCTTTAAAAAGTAGCAGTCATTTCTGTTGGAGCTGAACGTAAATCAGTATCAGAGCAACACCAGCAAACACCATAGTCAAGTTCCAGCCTTACCTGGAGAGCCTCTGACATTCAGGAGAACTCGAAGCTGGTTGCACAGGTCGGCAATATTGTGCAGCTGTCTGTTTGGCTGCAGGTCTTTCACCCAGGTTGGAGTGTGACACACTGGACAACTCTTCCCAAGGGAATCAGCAACACAAACTCTGTAAACAACAGCAGACATTCATAATGATTCATACGCAATTTTCAAACAGATCACTAGGTTCATTAGTTCTCTTTCTCTTTCCTCTCCCTCAATTCATCATTACACACAAGAAATGGCAAAGAACTCATTTGTGATGATGCCCCAGTATCATCCTGGCTGAGGTGTCATATATGATCTTCCTCCTTCTCCAGGTGGCAGCTATCTGACCTCTTTGCTGCTCTCCCCAACAACCACCCTGCCAATGGAAAATCAGAAGGAGAGTAAATAGTGAAATAAAAATGCTAAAAATCTTCTAAAAACTAACAGAAAAAATTGGAAACACTCAGCAGGTCAAACATGGGAGAACAGAAGAATTATCCTTACATTAAGTATAGCTCACACTGGCAAGAAATAGACAGGCATAGTACTTTAAATAGAAAGAAAAAGAGGACGGTGTATACATTTTACGTAAATAAGAGAGATAGATAAGAGACAGAGAGAAGAAAATAAACTCTCATTTAAATTAATGAGGATTCTAAACTGCCGTTCCACTAATGCTGAAGAACTGATTGAGGACTTAATAAATCATCTCAACTTGGGTATTTGCCTATAGAGGCAGGAATCTGTCTCACTTATATCAAGAATTATGTTCAAATATAATAATGTTAAGACAGACTTGCATTTATGAAGCATCTTATCACATTTCAGAAGCACTTCAAAAGGTTTCACATACAATCATTAAAAAAAAAACAGGGAGCTGGCAGACATTTTGACAAATTTTCTGCGTGCTATGATTTGTGCAAGCACAGTGAAACTCATAATCAGCTCATTTTTTGATTGAGGCAAAGAAGAGTGTTGGACATTGCACCAAAACAAACTCATTACTACACCCCATTCTTTTATTGAGAAAAACACCTTGAAGTAGTTTATGTCACATTGCAAATCACTGTGCCACATTTGACTAGTGTTTCACTTCATAAGCAGTGAACCGAGTGAAGGACAGTTATGTTTTCAACATTCAGGTTGTCACATTAGAAGCTTGAGTTGAATTTTTGAGTTTATATGCTTAAAGTCTAATGGATTGAGAGTTCATTAGCAACTTCAGCTGCAAATAAAAAGTCATCTTTGTCCCCTCAATATCACAGGAAATAGAGAAATGCAAAGAACATAACATTCCCAACAGACTATAAGAGTCTCTTCTACAATAGACTGAATTATCATTCCTGCCGTGTACTCAGGCTTAGAATCAACAGTTTTCATTTATACAAGACAGATGAGCAAGTAGGAGTGAAATATACATTATTTTATTCTCTCTGGTACATGAGATAAAAACGTCAAGAGCGTGCAACTTGATTCCAGTCTCACATTTTGTGACTGACCCTTAATGCGATAATAAGCACCATTTTGTCAGTGTTTCTGATATCCCAAGAACAAACAAATAAAATCAAGAACCAACTGGCTGGTGCCATAGGGGAGCTTTTGAATCATGGTTACATTAAGATTCAGCTATAAATACTGTGACTATCAGAGATGACTTCAGCCAATCAATGACACGTCCCTTCACAAAAGGTCTCAAGACAGAGCTGTTAGGCAATTCCACTGTTCCTGGGCTTAGGCCCATTCTGGTTCTTCTCCACCGCTGAAACAAAATCAATAAATGGCTACATCTCAGATAGTTCCATAAAAGTCACTGATAAATTTCAATGCATAATTTCTGCAATCACTGCACAATAAAACTGCTTAATTGACTGTAGAGGTTTTGGGATGAAGGAGCACAAGATGACCTTGTCAGCTGTTGATCCCTTTTTCTTCATCTACTCTGGACATGGGTTTCAAGTCGAAACATCATGATGTATATGCCCTTTGAAGAAGCTAACTGACCTAGCATATATTTTAGCACTACTCAAGTTTACTTCAAGATTTTTAACAGAGATTTGCTGAACGCTAAAAGGGTCCCCAACATCAGTCAGTCCATAAATTTCTGTAGTGGTTGGAAATGGTGATAAGTTTCCTCCATAATTTTCCAATGGTTAGGTGATGTAGGCCTTCAGAAATCAAAAATGACCTGTTAGTAACCTCCTCTTCCCTTTGGCTGTAGAGATTACTGCTCAAGATTCATAGCTCTCACTTGCTCAGTGAAAGGTGTTCCCATGAACATTACTTTGCCACTTAAACATGCACAAATGCTAACAAAAGGTCACAAGTGAATCAAAATAGCTTGAATTTTCCCACAGAAAAGGTTGAAGGCTACTGATTTGGTATAAACCCATACTTTGTTAATACACAATTATTTTACTCCTTATAGTCCCAAAGTAGCATGCTGACTACAAGATATACCAGACAGATAGATACATGGCAGATGATTTTGTTTTAAAAATGTATTTATTTGTTCACGGGATGATGGTATTACTAGCTAGACCAGTATTTCTTACTCATCCTAATTGGCCCTGCTAGGCGTTGGTGAGCCACTTTCTGGAACTACTGTAGTTCATGTGATGTAGGGACACCCACCACGTTAATAGGAAGGGAGATCTAGGATCTTGACCTTGCAACAGGAAAGGATGGTGACACGCTTCTGGTCAGGATGGTGTGTGGCTTCAATAAGAATTTTCAAGGGGTGTTGTTCTCATGCATCTTCCGCTCTTGTCCCTCTGTGTGGTAAAGTTTATGGGTTTGGGAGGTGATGCCTAAGGAACCTTACTGCGTTGCTGCAACGTATCTTGCAGATGGTACACTGCGGATATTGTGCATCTATAGTGCAGGAATGAATGTTGGTGGTGGTGTATGGGGTGTCAATCCAGCAGGTTGCTTTGTCTTCAGTGTTGTGAGAGTATTCCATCACTCACCTGACTTGCACCTTACAGATGGTGGACAGCCTATGGGGAGTCAGAAGGTGAGTTAGACACCTCAAAGTTCCAAGCTTCTGATCTGATAATGCAGCCATCGTATTCATGTGGCTGATTCAGTTCATTTTCATGTCAATGGCAATTAATAGAACGTTGATAGTGGAGGTTTCACATTATTAACATCGATTGTCAAGGGGAGGTGGCTAGATTCTCTCTCATTAGAAAGTGTCAATAGCTGGGACTTATGTAGTGTGAACACTCGAGCCACAAATGCCAGGCAATGGACCATCTCCAATAAGATACAATCTAACCACACCCCTATATTACCTTCCCATACAATCGCAGAAGGTGTAACACCTGCCTGTATGTTTCCTCTCTACTCGCTATCCAAGGCTTCAGACAAATTCCAAGCGAAGTTGCAATTTATCTGCACCTCACTTAATCTAGTCTATTGTATTCGCTACTCACAATGTGGTCTCTTCTAGATTGGGGATACAAATCACAGATGGGGCAACCGTTTGCAGAACACCTATGTTCTGTCTGCTGAACAGACTCTGAACTTTCCGTTGCATGTCTCTTCAATTCTCATACACCAGGTCTTGTCATCACCTGGGCTGCTACCACAGACAACCCACTTTCAGCTAATAATTGTCCCCATTAGGAGCTACTGATTCTCCCAGGCTGGTCTTTACCCTTTCTTTTGGCTGCACAATTCATAAAATCAAAATCCCTACAGTGCACATAGAGGCCATGAAGCCAAATGAGTCTGTACTATGAGCATCCCATCCAACTCCACACTCCCACCCCGTCCCCATAATCTCTCATTTACCATGGCCAATCCACCTAACTTGCACGTCTTTGGACTGTGGGCGGAAACCAGAGCATTTGGAGGAAACCCACGCAGACACGGGATGAATGGGCAGACTCCACACAGACAGTCACTGAAGGCTGGAATCGAACTCAGGTTCCTGTCACTGAGAGGCAGCAGTGCCAATCACTGTGTCGCTCTAATTGCTCTCTCTCTCTCACTCACTCTCTGGGCTCCATCTCCACCTATCATTTATTCCTCCTCCCTCCCCAGCTTCAGCATTTATACTAACATTATCCTTGCTACAATCAGTTCTGAAGAAGGATCATTGGACTCAAAACACTAACTTTGCTTTCTCTGCACAGATGCTGCCAGACCCGTTGAGCTTCTCCAGCAATTTTCTGTTTCTGTTCTGACCATGAAATTATAATGTGTCATAAAAACTCAACTGGTTCATTAATGCCCTTAACGGAAGGAAATCTGCCATCCTTACCCAATCAGACCCACTGCAATGTATACAACTTTTAACTACCCTCTGAAATGGCCCTTGCAAACTACTGAGTTCAAAGGCAAGCGGGGTTAGCCAACAAATGTTACCCTCATCAACAATACCCTCATTCCATGAAAGAATAAAGCAGAAGATAAATCTTCCAAACTTTCATTGATGATCATGGGGTGTTGATTGGCCCAACTGGATTTATTCTGCTTTTGTGGACAGAACATACCTGGACAACTGTCCACTCTCAGTTAGATGCCAGTATTGTAACTGTGCTGGAACAGCCTGGCTAAGGGTGCAGCTAGTTCTGGTGCACAAATGTTCAATACTATGGCAGAACGTTGTCAGGGCCAATAGCCTTTTCAGTGTTCAGTGCCTTCAGTGATTCCTGATATCACAGGAAATGTACTGAATTACCTGAAGACTGGCAGAGAATTTCCCGCCTTATTACCACCAATTTCAATTTTTAACAGTACTCTTTAGTGCCACACTTGGATTAACTTTGTCTTCACAATTGGACAAAGGAATTGAATGAGATTTCTCCAAATTTGCAGATGACACTAACCTGGGTGGCAGTGTGTGCTGTGAGGAGGATGCTAAGAGACTGCAGGGTGATTGGACAGAATGGCTGAGTGGGCAAATACAATTTAATTTGGATAAATGTGAGGTTATCCACTTTGGTCACAAAAACAGGAAGGCAGATTATTATCTGAATGGTGGCAGTTTAGGAAAAGGTGAGGTGCAATGAGTCTTGAGTGTCATGCTGGAACAGTCACTGAAGGGTGGCATGAAGGTGCAGCAGGTGACGAGGAAAGCTAATGGCATGCTGGCCTTCATAGAGAGAGGATTTGAGTATCAAAGTAAGGATGTCTTGCTGCAGTTATACAGGACCTTAGTGAGGCCACACCTTGACTATTGTGTGCAGTTTTGGTCACCTAGTCTGAGGAAGGACATTCTTGCTTTTGACGGAATCCAGCAAAGGTTTACCAGACTGATTCTCAAGATGGCAGGGCTGACGTGTGAAGAATGACTGGATCAACTGGGCTTGAACTCGCTGGAATTTACAAGAATGTTTTGGGGAGCTGGGAGGGGTGCTGCGGGCAGGTGAGGGCGGCATATAAAATCCTGATGAGATTGGGCAGGCTAAATCCGGGAAGTATATTCATGATGTTGGGGGAGTCCAGAACTAGGGGGTCACAGTCTAAGAATGAGGGGTAAGCCATGCAGGACTGAGATGAGAAAGCATTTCTTCACTCAGAGTTGTGAACCTGTGGAATTCTCTCCCACAGGAAGCTGTCAGGGCCAGTGCATTAGATATATTCAAAAGGGAGTTAGACATGGCCCTTGCAGCTAAAGGAATCAAGGGGATATGGAGAGAAAATGGGAATGGGATACTGACATTGCACAATCATACTGCATGGTTGTGCAGACTCGAAGGGCTGAATGGTTTACTCCTGCACCCATTTTCTACGTTTAATGTCAACCTCAGTCTAACTTCTGGAAAACTTTTCTTCCACAAAATAACTGACGCATTTTAAGACACAAAGGCTTTCACCCTAAACACACCTTCCACAGTGTGGTGAAGTCAAAGCCAACATGTTTCAATTGCACATGCGCAAACCCAGAAGATTTTAACCTGTCTCTTAATGATATCCCATAGCAATCTCAGATTTAAATTTAACAACCTCAGTGATCTCTGGCTTTTCTGGCACTGAGGTATCAGTGTATTCCTTTGTTAACAGATTGAATTCAAACTGTTGTGTGTAAATTCAAACTACTCTCACCTTTGAAGCTTCCATCTTCCTACCTTTGGACCCCTTTCACAAACACAACTCCCCACCCAACCCGCTGCAGCCCCATAACAGCAAATGCAATCTGTGCCTTTTGCAGCCTCTATCGCAAAAACACCTCCAAGCCCTAGTAAAAAGCATCACCCCAGCTGCCCAGCCCAAAAGATTCTCCAGCAACTTGCTCACATTTTTTGGGTACTGCTCACTGTTCATTCAATCATAGGCCACTTCTATCTTGTGTTAGCTGTCGATTAGGCTCACTTTGAATGAAATTATCAGCAGTAAATATGACAACCAGCCTGTGATTAGGGAATCATCAATTATGTCAAACTGATTTGAGTGTGAGAAGGGAACTCTTCTCTGACTGAAGAACCAATTATTGAATTTTGGGGGCACATTCACCTGTCATTCCTCATTATTTTAAGTATTGCTGCAGGGCAGAGAAGGATCATTTACTCAGCACTTCTGGCAAAGGACAGTTCTAAATGCTTCACCTTTGTCTTCTGCACTCACATGCTTGGCTCTGCCATCACTCAGCATGGGGGACAGTCACTGAATTTTCTAAACAATTAACAAATCATCCTCCACCTTTTGGTGGTTGCAGAGCCTTGTTCTGATTAGTTAGTTGTGGGATCCCTTAGCTTACTGGAAATTTATCATGAATGGCAGCTCCCATACATGGTATTACAGTAACATGAATAAGACAACAGCATTCTTGGCAGCGATTTTAATTGCCAGTAGTCAGATTTTGACAATCCATCCTACACTGTACTCTTACCGGCAAAATACATGCTCACATCCTCCAAGGCAGACAGGCTCCTGCAGCAGTTTGCAACTGAAAGAGAAAAACATTCCTGAATGATCAAGACATGTACTGTGTAATAAGCAGTATATCTGATGCTCTCCATGTGCAAGAGCTCAAATAGTTATTGAAAGCAGAAGACACCACAGGAAGCTTATATAAAAAAAATTTAAAATGAATTATGCTTTTCTGTTTAGTTATCCGCTCAGGAAAAAGAAACTCAACCGAGTAGGGAAGCTACAGTAAGCTCAGCAAGATCCCAAACATAGCAAGTAATGACCAGGCTACCTGGGTTGTTGTTCTGTCTGTGATAACACAACAAAAGGAACAGGTGCAGGAATAGACCATACAGACTTTCAAGTCTGCTCAGCCTTCCTTAACCATGGTTTAACCCTTACATCATTTCACATTAACATCCTATTCCCTTATCTCTTGGTTTTCCTGGTACCCAAAAATCCAAAGTCCACCATGAATGTACTCAATCACTAACCATCGATAACCCTCTTGAATAGGTTAATTTAAAATTTCACAGTCCTCCGAGTAACGAACTTTCTCCTCATCATCTCAGTTCAAAATGTTTAACTCCTTACCTCTGTGACCTGAATTTAGGACTCTCTAGTCAGGGGTCAGTCTCTCAGATGTACCCAGTCATTCCCTCGAAGAATGATTAATGTTTCAAATTAGGTCACTTCTCATTCTTCTAATCTCAACAGAATACAAACTCATTTTATTCATGGACAGCTCTCTCACCCCAGGTATCAATGGAATGAACCTTCACTCCAGCTCATTTAAGCAAGTATGTTCCTCTCTGGGACGGCTCTTGTGGTGCAGTACCCCCAGGAGACCAGATGTCTGAACAGGTTGGTTAGTAAAAATATCTATTCCTCCTTGGGTATGGAAACTAAAATTATGCACCGTACACAAGGTCCGCAGCATTACCAAAACTTCGAAGAGTTGCAGCAAAACTTCATTACCACCACATTGCAACACACTTGTAATAAAACCTGACATACTATAACCTTCCTAATCTCTTGCTGTACCTGCATTTTAACTCAGACTTAAACACGAATGCCCAATTCTTCTGAATCTGTATTCACTAGCCTATCTTTTAAAAATTATTCTGCTTTTCCATTCACCCTACCAAATTGGATAGCTTTTCACTGCATCTGCCACCTTCTTGCTCACTCATTTAACTTCAATATATCCCTTTCCAGCTTCTTTGCATACTCTTCAAAGTTTATTTTGCCAACCTTGTATTGGCAGTAAACTTAGATATATTGCATTGAGCTTTTATGATATTCCACCAATTACCACATGCCATCCTGAAAATGGTCTGATTCTTTTTTTCAGCCCTGTAAATAATCCTCAATCCACGTCAACACATTATCCCTAATTTTGTTTTGTTCATTTGTGGGATGTGGGCTTCGCAGTCCAGGCCAGTGTTTGTTGCTCATCTTTAGTGGTCTTGAGAAGATGGTGGGGAGCTGCCTTCTTGAACCATTGTTCACTGTAAGTACCCCCACGCAATTAGAGACAGAGTTTCAAGATTTTGAACCAGCAACACCGAAGGAATGACAATTTGGAATGGATCAGGGAGCTTCGCAAGCGAAATGGCTATATTCCAATGTCACTGAGCAGCACCCACTTGTCCACCAGCAAGTCAGCCTGCTGCTGACTGGGTGCTCTAAGGTGGCTGCAGCATGGGCCAAGCCTGTACTGATAAAGAGTGGTCCCAGCTGTCAAGATCAGACCACTGCATCCCAAAGCCACATCCTCCAGCCTCACATCCCTAATCCATCCAAATCCCCACTGCATCGGGCCACCACCCTTTCTAATCGCTCACATCATCCATAAAAACCCCCAAACCATCACAACACTGGAAGCCTACCACGAAGCCACAACCTCATCCCCGACCAAATCACAAACCCTCAAACCTCGTCACCTTTCAACCCCTCCCCACGCCTCGGGCCCTCATCAATCTCATAAAAACTGAAAGAACTGCGGATGCTGCACATCAGGAACACACACAGAAGTTGCTGCAAAAGCTCAGCGGGTCTGGCAGCATCTGTGAAGAAGAAAAAAAATCACAGTTGACGTTTCGGGTCCTCAGTTCTGAGGAAGGGTCACTGGACCCGAAACGTTGACTCTGATTTTTTTCTTCTTCACAGATGCTGCCAGACCCTCTGAGCTTTTCCAACAACTTCTGTTTGTGTTCCTCGTCAACCTCACTCCACCTCAGACTCTTCCCCTACACTCTCAGCACCCAACATCATGCAGCCTCACCCTGATAACTGCCCGGGCAGTGTCAGCCCAATTCACCTTTGACCCTCCCCTCCCCCCC